TTTAGGATCGTCCTGAAAGGTGTTAAATGATACTGTTCGTGGTAAATGAAAAATATTAAAAGAAGATCGTCAAGTTTTTGCGTCATGAGATTGTTGCCGAGCACTTGATTCGCGCTCGGTTCGCTCTTTCAAGAGATTTTTCTTATATAAATGCTGTTATTGCGTAACGATTTAATCGTCGGCAATTAATATAATCGTTGATAATTAATAATCAATTATTGCAGTTGGTTCTTACGTACTATGTTTACGGAAGCGTTTACTTTAATAACTTATTTTACAATAATTCCTCCGCGTAAATAACGGAGTGAATTACTCGTTTACGCGTAGTGAATTTTATCGTAAGTTACTATTATACAGAAGTAAAGTTCGCGTAAAGCCCCTTGCACAATGCTAGGCAATAGGCAATAGGAACAGAAAATAGAAATTAGAAATCATGTATATATAAATGCAGAATAAACAGTGACACAGGCAAATAGACACAGAATTTCCGTCACGTTGGAAATTCTGTGCCTATTGCCTGTTGCCAACCAATCATAGCATTCGAATATTTTTTAGGTTGTAATTAACGATTTTTTGGTTATTTCCTGTTCCTATTGCCTGTTGCCTGGCATTGTGCAAGGGGCAAACGTAGTAACAGTGAGAGAATAATATATATCAATTGGATATTATTGAGAATGTCGTTCTTTAAATAACGAGGATCACGCAGGAGAATCATTTTACACTTATTTATCAAAATATGAAAATATGATTTAAGATTAGCAAGCATTGTAAACATTGTAAATTATAGCGTAATTATCTAAAAATATGCGTAATGCGTAAATATATTAAAAATAAAATGACCAAATCTTTAAAAACGCATCACGTTGCGCCATCTCGCGACAGAAGATCGGATCTCCGATGCTTGTCGCGCACTGTTTGAACATATTTAGATTCGCCGTGTGATATTTTCTTTTTAAGAAAATGGCGGCATTATATTTGTTGACACTCTGTGTAAAGTGTAAATGATCATTGACGTCTACAAAGATAAATGGTTATAAAAAATCGCAAACAAAATACATTATAATTTTATGCGTATGTACACTTTTGAATAATAGTGCGCCTTCCTATATATGTATAATAGTGATAATTTACGCACGCGATGGAAAAGTATAAGTTGAGGATTTGACATAACTGGATTTATAAACACTTATTGTGAAATTAAAATTTAATAATGAAATTGAGTTTATTAATAAGGTTCTGGAATACTAAACACAACTTTTGCAATTTTGTATAAACCAGATATGGATATTACAATTATTTAAACTGGAAATACTTATATATACATATAGGAAACGGAATATGTTTTACAAGTATTGTTCGCTCGCAGATGTATTAATAATGAATTTGACTCACAGTCATTATAGTTTCCTCGTTTGTTGGAGAAACCTCTTCGGGAATCGTCAAAGAGACGATTGAGTCAAGCCGGAACAGCTCTGAGGCAGATTTCAAGAAGTAATACATAATTAAATGCACTGACGCTAAAAGTAAAATGACACTGCTGAATAAGAGAATAATTGAAAGAATAAATAAAGAATAACTGAAGGAATAATGAATAATAAATGTGTCCCGGCTGTACACGGTTTTTATTCGAATGCTAGCCGAATTTGCCGTGCTGCTATTTGCTCGTGAGCGAATAGAAGGGCAATTTTGGGGAGGTTTCTCCAGCTGTCATTGGTTAGAATCATCTAACGCTCCCGAGGATTCCGAGGAAGCTTAGATCATTCGGCAAATGTAAGCAAGGAATTCGCGACTGATAACCCGAGTAATTTCCTCGCGTTATCAGCCGGATGCTTCGTCGCCGAAAATGAAACTAGATCCTTTTTAGGTTCTTTGATTCCTGCCGACGTTTCGACGCTGACAAATCGCGCTTAAATTAATATCTATCGTATGGTAAGTTTCGACGAAAAGCGTTGCGAATGTTGCGATGTCCGAGTTACACTTGATACCTTCATATAGTTATATAGATAAGTAGAACTATAATAAATAAGGTTATTAAGATCGAGACAAAGGCAAAAGGTTATAAAGAGAAAGATAATGAATAAATGAGGATTAAATCTGAAAAAAAATTTGAACGGTAGTAAAAATTTAATTTGCGGGACGTCACAATATAGTTACTGCGAGATATGTGTTTACCGTATGTCCGCCATTTTGAAAAACGCGGGATTGCACTCAGAGTAGAGATTTTAAATCACAATCATCTGTTTATACCATAAGAATAGAGTGCGCGAGTCATATGCTAGCACGTAAGAGGCTGCGATATAGGAATAGAAAAAGAACGCTGCATATATAGCCCAGTAAAATGACAAAATTTTGAGGAAATAATACTGACTGTACTGAAACTTTGTAAACAGACTTGTTTTAGGGTACTATTCAACATATTAAAAGTCCCCATGTGTAGGCGCTACGTTGCGGGGAGGGGAGAGTCCAAAAGATTCCAAAAATCAGTTTTTTGCAAATAACTCGGAAAATATCGACTTTACAAAAATTTATGTAGATATAAAAATTGTAGCTTACAAAATTCCACACAATTTCGTTTTTTATTCAAGTCTGTACGATCAAATGGAGCAGAGATAGAATTTTTTAAACACTGGTAGTTTTGCCTCGATTCGAGAGTCCATTTTCGAGATATTAGCAAAAAATGCGCAACGCGCATACGCGTTAGCCTCGATTTGAGAGTCCATTTTCGAGATATTAGTGAAAAATGCGCGACGCGTGTACGGGTTTTTGTTGCGTCGCAAAACTACCGGTGTTTAAAAAATTTTATCTCTGCTCCATTTGATCGTACAGACTTGAATAAAAAACGAAATTGTGCGGAATTTTGTAAGCTACAATTTTTATATCTGCATAAATTTCCGTAAAGTTGATATTTTTTGAGTTATTTGCGAAAAACTGGTTTTTTTTTTATATTTTGGACCTTTTGGACCTTCCTCTGCCCGTAACGTAGCGTCTACACATGGGGACTTTTATATGTTAAATAATACCCTAAAACAAGCCTGTTTACAAAGTTTCAGCCCAGTCAGTATTATTTCCTTCAAATTTTGAAAATAATTCTATCTCTGCTCCACTTGGTCGTACAGACTTAAATAAAAAACGAAATTGTGCGGAATTTTGTAAGCTACAATTTTTATATCTACATAAATTTTCGTAAAGTTGATATTTTCCGAGTTATTTGCGAAAAACTGATTTTTGGGACCTTTTGGACCCTCCCCTCCCCGCAACGTAGCGTCTACACGTGGGGACTTTTAATATGTTGAATAGTACCCTAAAACAAGCCTGTTTACAAAGTTTCAGCCTAGTCAGTATTATTTCCTCGAAATCGACAAATTTCGAGTCATTTTACTGGGCTATATAGGCCCTTTCTGTCTTTGTCTACGCGTGCATGCGAAACAAAGACAGAAGGGGCCCATGCGCAGCTTTCTCTTTCTATTCCTATATCGCTTTTTCAGCTCGCTCGCGCACTCTATTCTTATATCTCTATGGTTTATACTGAACGCGCCGCGGCGACTGCGGGGTCGCATTCGAATCGCTCGATCCGTATCTTTCGCGATTATTACGGTGTGAAAGAGTCCGGTGTGCAAAAAATTATCGCGAGTGTCTTCCGCGAAGTGCCGGCAATGTTTATCGTAACGTATCGAGAGCATTGTAATTTCAATATCGGTTAGTATCAACAATTCGCTTTCGTTGCGTCTGGAATGGATCCCCTTCGCGGCCATTCTCGCCGATGTCGCGACGGATATACTATCATCGCTGGATCGCTTTACAGTCAGTATAATGCAATGCTAATCTTTATTATTATATATACGTGCGACATCGCTGATGCATAAAACGACACAAGCTTTTTGTATTATAGCTTTGTACATATAGCGATCATCTTTCCCGATATTTGAATGGCGAACGATAAGAACATGGCGTCTTCTAGGCTACGTTCTTTTTGACGCTTTCAGCGCTAAAAGCATCACTCCATCTTGATATTCGATGTGCAGCGAAGACAGAATGATGCTTATAGCGTTGAAAGCGTCAAAAGGGAACGCAGCTCTAATTTGCATATAATTTTGCATATTTCACACATGTCAAAAACTATACGTTCGTATACGTGCGTGTATACACACATATATAAACTTTTGTGTAATACAATAAAATTCTATGATTTTTTATGTAAAATGTACATGTGTGTGTGTGTATCTAAACGTACAAAATTAAATTAATGACGCGAAGTTAATAGTACTTTCGATTGATATTGAAACATCTCTGAGTTAGGGCTACAATCATTTTAAGAATTACAAACATTTTTTTTATATTATAAGAATAATAGCACCTAATATTTAAGTAAAATGATACTTAACTACAATTGAATATAGCTAACGTTAATAGCTCATCTAGCTTTACAATTATTTTTTATATTATTTTAAAATAAAATATTCTATTTTATTGAAGCAATATCATGTTTTAAGTTTTATTTGCCATCTCGTTTTTAAAAATAATAAACTGTTAATTAAAATTAATTATTTGCTACAGTAATATAAACTTTTCTATCGTTAAACTCTTTTAATTTTTAAGATTTATAAAATCTTATTATATTATTACAGTAAATAAAACCATGTTTTTTTATTACAGTTTAAACTCGTTTTTAATATTGCATTAGTTTCATTATTTATTTATTTACATATATTATTTATTGTCTTTTTCTCTCTCTGAAAATTCACTTTCTTAGTTATATAAGCATTTTAGACATGTATGGACCGTCAAGTTCATAACCCAATTTTCTGTAATAATTACGTGTACCAACGCCTGCAAAAAAATAGTTTGTTAGTATGAATTTTTAAACCTTTGATCAGTTTAATCCAATAATTAATGCAAACGCGAATGCGAAAGATGTAAAAGCGTTACACCACATACCTGAAATTACGGAAATTTTATCAGATTTATGTTCCTCTTTTGCGATTCGTTCAGCTTCTTCCATTAACAAAATACCGAACCCTTGGTGTTGAAATTTTGTAGGATCGCGAGCGCTAATAGGTACTACGCTGCCATAAACATGAAGCTCTCTTACTATAGAAGTTTTTTCTTTTAATTCCGGCCTACAAAAAGAGCATACATTAATTTAAAGATATCGGGATGATGCATGGCTGCGCATGGTTGAGCATGATCAATTTGTAAGTCCCGATCCTCATTCCATGTAAACTTTTCATAAGTTGATTGGAAAATTAAGGTTGGTGAATGGCGACCTAATTCGGGAACCTATTTTTATTTTAATTGATATTTACGTTACTAAAGAATTCATGTTCTAAATATCAAGACATGTTACATCATATGATATAGTAGTAGATATGACATAAACAGCAAATAAAATAAAATGTGAAAATTATACCTGAATGTGCTGGTAGAACATTTTCTTAATCTAAGCAGGCCAATTAGAATGTCCTGCAAGGGATCTTCGTATGACAAAAATGTCTCCCATCCCTCATTGGCTACGTAATCACGTCGTATAAGTTCAACTTCATAGGGTTGTACTTTCTGATGTATTTCTTGAATTCCTACTTCGCGTGTTCTAACATCACGGCACTCTGTGCCCATATCCTTCATTCTTTCTAGAGCCAATTCACGCAAATTCCCGTGTTTTACACCAGAACTATAATTTTTACATGAAAAAATATATGTATTGTTATCTATCATAAGCGTATTATTCGCTTGTGCAATCTAATGTTAAATTTATACCTCACTAATGGCATTGGTATGTCACGTTGTACGCGATAAACGCGGGTCCACGGTGGTATCAAAGCTAGAATATGGGCTATAAAATCGACTAATACACTGGGCTCGTAACTCTTATATCTTCCAGTTTGCCATAATTCGTACAAGCCGGTGCCACGTATAACCAATGTTGGATAAATTTTTAGTCCATCCGCTCGAAACGCAGGATTCTTGAAGAATTCCTAAAAATCGATACAAAAGTATAAGTATTAACAAGAAATTATTGTATAAGTTAACATTGTTATGTACAAATGCAGCGACATTACTATAAACTGGGCGATATCTCGTTCCAAGTCGACATTCGGCAAATTTGGCATCATGTGAGCTATCACCTTAAATCCGGCATCTTTTGCCAGTTGAAAACTCTCACATACGGCACGTACTGTATGCCCTCTATTAGTATCCCGCGCCACATCTTCGTATATCGATTGTACACCGACTTCCAAACGTGTGCATCTATCAATTTCATTTATTTTTATTGCAAGTGGTTACCTAATCTCAGACATTGTATTAAAAGCAAACTTACCCATAACGTAGCATATCCGAGAGATGCTTCTTGAGACAATAATCAGGCCGAGTTTCAATGGTGATACCAATACACTTGGTAGTACTACGTTCCGAGTACTTCACTGCTTCGTCAACATTACTGCTTGTATGACCAGACAGCGCGTCGTGTAGGTTCCGTATAAAATAATCTCTATAGGCATCTGGTAATGACATAAAAGTACCGCCCATAACAATAAATTCGACTTTGTCGACATTGTGGCCCAGTTGTTTTAACTAAAAGTGTAACATATATACATGATCATTTTACAAAGACTGAAAGATGATTGGAAATTATATGACACATAACCGTAGCAGCATTCGCTTTACCTGTTCAATGCGATGTCTTGTTTGTAAAAAAGGATCATATCTCGCGCGTATAGCTCTCATCGACGTGGGTTCGTATCCTGTATACGATTGTGTTGAATATTCAAAGTCAGAATCTGGGCCGCCGGGGCAATAAACACAGATATTTCCCGTCATATTAATATGTGGACATCTGTGTGGTTTGCACATCACTGCTACAACAGCAATCTGCAATAATTGTATTACTTTTTTTTCTGTATCGTAAAGATAATCGGTATACACATACAACGATTGACAATGATGCAAAGTTAAGCTAACCCCACTAGCAGTCCTGATAGGCTTAGCCTTCAATTTCGGCAGAAGCATGTTCCTAGCGTAACTAGGTACTGCTGCGATAATGTCAACCAATCTTGGAGAAGAGTCCAGGCCATACTTTGAAGAAATTCTCGTCTTCAATTTATTTAGATCAACGTCTCGATTTTCATTATGTGCCTTTAATAACTCTTGTATAATTTCGCCAATTGTTATCACCATACGCTCCTCCTTGCTCTGATTTACAAACTCTGAAAAGACATAGATTTGTTACATTCCAATATAAGTAATTAACCAATAATAAATGAAATTTCATCAATTTGTATCTTACAATTAAATATAGAGAAGTGTCATTTTTGATCAGGTTGGATCTTGGTAGTCTAATAATAATATTTTTATGTGAATTTTGTATATTTCTTCCACCTCAACAAACTGTACGCTGATTATTTGTCGATCTTGAAACATAGTTTTTCATTCAAACACTAAATTCACATACTTAACCAATAATCGATGTAACTTTTATAATGGTTAAAAAAAAAAAGATGCTTGTTAACACTAAAAGTTAAATCGATTATCAACTTAAATAGTCTGGATTTCCGATAAAAACCTGTGTTTCAAGACAGACAAATAATTGACATGCAGTTTGTTGAGTCGGAAAGAGCATAGAAAATTCACACAAAACCATTATTATTAGGCTACCAAGATCCAGAAACCCCGACCGAAGATTTTGTCTGTATTTAATTATAAGTAATTACGTTAAACATTTACATCAATTTTCTGACTGCACGCTACGTTGCAATAACACATTATACTGTATACTTACTGCTTTGTAATACCATGATTGCAAATCTCTTGTAACCTTATTTACAGTGTATTTACAAGAATGATAAAAATATTTCACTCTTTCTTGTACGTCATCAAATTTTTCTATGCAAATTGCACGAGATCTCAATGTCACAAAGGAGTAATTGCAAAAAATAGCGATGAAACACAAGACAACGTGCTCTGGCAATCAACCGCAAAAGATGGTCTTCTTGTTGTTATGGAAGAGAAAATGGCACCTGATCCCAATACTGGGATCGATATGGTCAGAGTCGGCGAAAAATGAAATAGTCGTTGGAGGAATCATACGAATCACACAATGACTGTGAAACAACGCCAAAAACTGACCGGCGGCTTATACCGGCCACGCCACTCAGCGATGCCGGAATCGCATCAGCAGCTGTGTCGGAGCACTTAGACTTATGAGCCTTGCGGCGCCTGCGTATTAGAGGGGATACGGATACGCACACATAGAAGAATCACGTATACGTCGTATGCGCTTCCGGCTACTTCAGAACTGTGCTTCTGTGTGCTTCAGACAATAGAAGAAGACAGGTATATTATCCTTTGTCCTATTTTCTCGCGTTGTCGATCTGTGATCGTCCGAGCTCCGAGTGCTTTCGAATTATTTCTTCATTTCCATGCGCTAACAATTAATTTTGGCTGATATATATATACTGTCAGTAAAAATCTACAGAGTTCACGTTTATAGGGTTGTGTTGTAAACAAGATTACATTTACACAGATTGTTTACGTTATGTTTATGCGAACCTTTTTCGTGTAGACAATATAATAATAAGCAATTATTATAAATTAACTGATCGATTAATGAATAATTAATAGATTTTTTGGGACGTATTTTTACAAATGGTTCTAAAAAAATAAAAAATAGTTTTAGATTAGATTAAATTATATGCATTTCATTTATAATTTTTTTTTTATATTAATTATTAATTAACTGTAGGTACAGTGATATAGGGGATACGTGATATTAAAAAAGAAATATTATTATATATTTAATTTACATTGATCTGATCTGTTAATTTTTCGTGGCATGCTAAAAATTGTACTCACAAACTAAATAATAGTAATTGAAAATAAAATTGCAAGCAAAACATAATTAATTTCCGATATTTCTGACGAATTATAAATGTTCGATGATCCATGAATATATTTATTGTGATATGACACGTTAAACATAGTTTTCATTGTACATGTAGATGAAGATTATTTTACAGATTATTATAATATATTTTACGCGTATAAATGCCCAAACCCTGGTTCACGTTACGTACATATACTATAGATTTTCAATATTGGCAGTATAGTATATTGAAACGGCCGTTATATATAATTTTATCTAAAATATTTATTATAACAATTTATTATATAATTTTGTGTATAATAATTGTTATACTATAATAAATAAAAATATTTAATATATGACAGACATCAATTTTCTTAATATAATTGCATAATACTCAGAAATTCTCTCGAAGATTCGAAATCGAAAACTTCACTATCCTTTAGTATTAGTTAATCAATCACAAATTTGACAAATTTGTTCTATGTGACAGATGAAATATCAATCTAACACATTTTTTTCCCCATTTTTTTATTTGGGATAAGAGAAAATTCACATTGAGCTTTGGTGTTTAAATGAAGAGAAGCTCCTACATCCTTAAAAGTAATCGCTATAATTTTGAAAATAATATTTTCCTTCGAAGGCTCACTACCAAATATAAAGCTGATTGGAAGGAAACACTACCTTATCTTAGAATTCTTGCTACTAATTTTCGCAGCTACTACTTTTCTATACTAGATGGAACTAGTAGGATCATATCGTTATGTAGTAACAGTATTGTAATTGCGAATATACACTTGCTCACATCATCACATGTATTTGTATGGTCTGTTAGTGTGCCTTAGTTTTCTAAATTAAATTATTTTCTCTTAAGCGTTTGTTGAAAACTAGACGATAATGTTCTTCTGTCAAGTAAAACTCAATGGAGATTATATTCAACATTCTCTATTGTCTCATCATATGAATTTTTTGGAAAAGTCTGTAATTAGAATAGTAATAATAATAATAGTGTTATTTATCATTACTATTATTATTATTATTATTATTATTATTATTATTATTATTATTATTA